CGGGTTTTACGCAGCAGAGGACGGCGTGACCCATCCGCTGACGCCAGTGCAGTGCTGGGCCGCGAGTCTTACGCGGTTGGTTGATACCATTGCCAAGGCCTGGGCCATCACTGGTGCAGATGGTGGGCAAATGATGCTGGGCTTTGGCCATAGATTGACCCCAGTCGCTACAGTGCAGAGATAACGTTGCGGCTGCCGACATGACTGTACCATTCATATCGAAGAACTGGCCCTGGCCCGGGCGGGATCCACGCAGGAATTTGAACCCTTTCACTTCGCTCCAGGGGACTTAAACAGATCGCGGGCCTGACGCAGGCATGAAGCTGCTGCCCGGGTCTGTAATCATGTGACCGCCGGTTTGGCGCCTTTGTGTGCGAGTCTGGGTGTCACACCGCACGGGTTGATGGTTCCACATCAGCAGGCTGTCGGACCACGACTTCGCGGCAACCGCGCCTAACTGACGATCGTAAATTCAGCAGCGGGTGTGCGACGTCCGTGCTTGAATTACGTCGACCTGGAAACCTTGCATCGCAACGACTCCATCGCTCTGTCTGCTCTGAAACTGAAGAAGATTTGACTGAGAACGGAGGACTTCGCCCCACAGAGTTACGCAGGGGCAGTGTAACAAGCTCGGTTTTTTGGTAGCCGGGTAACGCCAAAGACCCAAATGCGCGTTGCCCTGCGCTGTATGTTAAAGAGTTGTCCATATCGATGTATGGCGGCGATGTGCGTTGGGCGTCCACAGAGACGACCCGTGAGGAAATACATCCATGCTGAAAGGACAGCCGTGTCGGCTGTCTCGGGCAACTCCGGCTACCCGCCATCGGATACCAATGAGGAATAGAAGTGGCATTTTGCTGAACACTTACGGCAGAACATATTCCCATGGATATCGAAATCGACAGACACCACAAATCATGGCAGGCCGGCCGCCCCACGTGGTTCCCCTTTACACTAACCGCCTGCGCCCGATCCCGCTTTTACGCACTCCCAACTCTCCTTTATGGTGTGCAGGGCCGCGAGCTCGCCCACGGGTCCAACTTTACCTCCGCCGTTTTACGCGTCTACACTCACTACGTTGGGAACCAGCCTTGGTCGGCAGATAATTATGGGAATGCCGAGTCTCTATATTGGAGAACAGAAATCCTAGAATGGTCCTACTCCTCAGCGGAATCAGTTTCAAACTGGAGAATCACTATGTTAGAAGACGAAGCATTTACAGGAGGGCCCATGAAATATGACGTTGTCATCGTCGGTGGGGGAGCGGCTGGATCGGTGTTTGGCCAGCAGATTGCGTGAAAACGTGAATACCTCCGTTTTGTTGCTGGAAGCCGGGCCAGATTACCCTGATCCAGCCCATCTTCCGGACGAGATAAAGTTCGGCCACACAATTTTGCAGAATCCCCAGACTCGGAACATACTGGGCCCTGCGGGGAACGATCACCGAGGAGCAAGGGGAGATCCACGTAGCGCAGGGCAAGGTGATCGGAGGAGGGTCGTCCATCACGGTCAGGCAATGCAGAGGGGGTTACCTGAGGATTTCGACTCCTGGTCTGGTATGGCAACGATGAATGGTCTTATGACAACGGTACTGCCTTACTTCAGAAAATCTGAGCACGATCTCGACATCGGGATGATTTTCATGGAACCGACGGACCGATGCCAGTAAGGCGTCGTCAATCCGGGCCTGGACAGACATCCAAAAGGCCTTCCACGCAGCCTGTTTTGGAGGGCGGGTTATGGGGCAGTCGAGGATACCAATGGCCCGAACCCCTCGGGCGTTGGCGTGTGGCCCTCGAACAACCTGGACGTGCTGGAGGATGAGCGCTGCCATCACTCACCTAAATCCCATGCGCCACCGTCTTAACCTTACTGTGAGGGGAGGGGTTTTCGTAAGGAGGTATTGATCAGGATCTGAAAGGCCGTCGGTGTGGAAGTAGTAAAGCGGAGGCGAGATTTTCAACGTTGAAGCAGACCGGGTTGTGTTGAGCGCTGGGGCTATCAAGTCGCCCCACCTGCTCATGCTATCGGGAATCGCCCCAATGACCAACTTCAGCAATTTGGGATACCTCTCGTTCATGAGCTTCCCGGAGTGGGACAGAACCTATTTAACCACCTGAGCGCCCAGATTACCTTTAAAGTCAAAGACGGAATGACCCTGGCTGCTGATGCCGATGCGCGCGCTTTTGTTTACACTACACCTCCCACGGGTCCAGCGAAGCCCAATGATATGTTGCTGAGACCACCCCTATGGTTGACGAACGGCCGGAGCGCGTCCCGGGTCTCCGGACCCAGTACCTGAACGGTGAGTTCCCCCCGACCGGGTGGCGCGAATCTCGTTGCACGCTCGGGCTACCCGACGGCTCAGGATACGTCAGGCTTGCGTCTGCCGATCCCTCAGTGCAGCCGGCTTTAACTACGCTATCTTCAGCATCCAAACGACATTCGTCGGGTGCGGGAAGGCGTGCGAATGCGATTGGATTCCTTGAATCCGATGCGTATAAAGACGTGGCCGATTACCGGCTCCACCCAACTGACGACATTCTGGCCGACGACGACGCTTTGGACCTCTATATACGCCAGACCGTTGGAACAGCCAGGCATGTGTCCGGCACATGCAAGATGGGCCCGGATTCTGACCCAATGGCGGTTGTTGATCAATATTGCAGCGTCAAGGGAGTAAAGGGGTTGTCGGTGGTCGATGCGTCGGTGATGCCGCGGGTTACAAGGTCAGGTGGTAGCCATGCAACGGTTGTCATGATAGGGGAACGTGCCGTCGACTGGATTGCGTCGGCTTAACCCCGCCTTACCGCTGTCTGAAATCTATGGTCTAAGACGGAGGGTTCTTAACGACTGCTTCATCATGTCAAACTTGGCCGTCACTTCTCAGATAGTCGGCCATGGCAAGAGCGCCGGGAATCGAGTCCCTGGAATGACCACCCACACCAATATCGTTGTAGTCCTGATACCGCACCACCACCGAATTGGCAAAACCAGCCATATCCGGTGAGATGTTATCCTTGGCGCCCAATATGCGGAATTGCCTAGTGCTCGTGACGGTTCTGGCCAGCTGAGTAGCAATCTTAGCTGGCCAGAAGTCTGGCCGGAAACCTCGATTCCCCCTAGTACTCGGTCAACCGTGGAATAGAAGTATCCTTGGAACATTACGACCCTAGGGTGGTTGCCCAACCGACATTGCAGGGGACGCTGAACCCTTTGATTCCAAACATGACTGAGTACTAGGTCGGCGTTTTCTTAACGTTGATTATCGATGGCATAGTGGGTGTTGCAACGTATTACATGCACCACCATGTTCTATGTGAGCGGAGTCTTCTTTCCCCTGGACCACGTGCCGCACACAGTCAAGATGCTCTCCTGGGCATTGCCCCTGACCCTCGCAGCGGCCCTGACGAGGGGACTGGTATCGGGCGACCTCACGTGGTCAATGGTGCTGTGGGCGCTCCAACTATTGGCTATTTCGGTTGTGCCCCTCTGCGTGGCGTCCTTCTTCATGCACCGCCGCCTCATCAAGTGACTGCCAGCGTCGTGGCCACCTGCTTGTAGTCTTCCAGTCTGGGGAGCAGCAGTGGCAGGTCGACACCAACTCTGCGATATTCTTCGATCCGTTCCCTGCACCGCTCAGGCGGACCGACGACGTAGAACGAGTCCACCATGTCGTCGCTTATGAGGCTGACCGCGTCCCGCCCACCGTCCTGTTTCACCGACTCCCGGAGCGCGGGCAGTATGGACGGATCATAGCCACCCTTCTCCAGCAGAATCTCACCGACGTGGGGTTCGTCCAGCAGCCGCACTACCCGCGACTTGAGGCTTTCCAACATGCCCGCGGGGTCGTCGGTCGGGCGCACCACTAACATACAAGCGATGTCCACGTCGGCAGGGTCACGCCCCGCTCACGTGCGGCCCTCCGCACTTCGTCCACGGCGTAGCTGATGTAGGTTGTGGGAGTATAGGCGTTTAGCAACACGCCATCTGCGACCGCGCCCGCCAGCCGCAGCGCCCTGGGACCTATCGCCGCGAGATAGATTGGGAGCCGGTCTTGTACGGGCAAGGTCGCAAGCCCCACGTTGGCCAGATTGAATTGGCCTCCTTCGGAAGTTACAGGACTGCCCGACAGCAGGGCGCGCACGGTCTCAACCGTCTCTTTGAGGCTGGCACGGGGGTCGCGGTACGGTATCCCCATCCGGTACTGGACCACCCAACTGTCGCTCCTGCCAAGGCCAAGCAAGAACCTCCCCCCGGAGATGCGGTCGAGGGTGGCCGCCGACATTGCGGTCAGCGCCGGATTTCGCGTAAAGGGGTTGACCACTCCCACGCCCAGCTTAATATCATGGGTCACGGCGGCCAGAAAACCCAGCATGGAGAAGGTCTCCTCGTGGAAATACCGCTCGGTGACCCACAAGGACTCGTAGCCGCAGCGTTCGGCAGTCTCGGCGTACTCCTTCAGCTCCCCGCCGCTGTCGATGCCGTGGTAGAGCACGATCCCTTGCCTGGCCATAGCCCCGCCTCCCTTCTCCTATCCTCCGCCGCCGGCGTCGAACTGGAGCAGGATGCCGTCGGGGTCGTAAACGTAGAAGCTGGTCAACTCTCCCCGGGCATTGAGCCGGGACTCCAGCGGTCCGGCGAACTCTACGCCTTTAGAGGCCAGGTCGTCAGCCAGGCCCTTCAGGTCGGAGACCGAGATCGAAAAATGGCTAAGGCCGATTTGGTCCAGCTTGATGGGGTCCCCGTCGGCGTCTTCGCCGGGGTGGGTCGTCATGGTAATGGTGGGGCAGTTCTCACCCTCGCCGATGACCAAACGCACCTGGCGGCGCGTCTGCCGTGAGTGCTTATACACGTGGGGGAGGCCGCCTGTAGTGGTGTCTTGAATCCGGTCGTACCCCACGGTCATACCCAGGATATCCCGGTAGAAGCCCAATGACCGGTCGATGTCCGCCACGCAAATGGCGATGTGGGAGACTCCGGTTGCGTCCATGCCTACTTCACCTCCGTCTTTGTTGATAGCCAGTAGTCTAGCCGTTGCCTGGCACGGCGATTCCGGCGACTTTCATCTGGATGCGGTACAGGGAACCGAAGGTTGTGACGAACAAGGTCTTCCAGTCGTCCCCGCCCCAACCCACGTTGGTCGTCTGCGCCCCGGTGTGGATTGTCCCCAGATGGTTGCCCGCCGGGTCTATGATCCACACGCCGCCGGGCCCGCTGCTGTAGACGTTGCCTTCGACGTCCACCTTCATTCCGTCGGGGCCATAAGGGGTGGAGGGGACGGGCGCGATAAGCTGGCAGAACACCCGGTCGCTGGCCAGGTTCAACATCCCGTTTGGGTTCACGTCGAACGCCCTGATCCTTCCGCCGCGATAATCGGCGATGTAGAGGATGCTTTCGTCAGGCGAGAAAACCAGGCCGTTTGGAAAGGCAAAGTCCGACACCAATAGCGAAATCGTACCCAGGTCCGCAGACACTCGGTAGACGCCGGAGTATGGCAGCGGAAATTCCGGGTCCGGCGCTCCGGGGTTAGTAAAGTAGATGCTGCCGTCCGACGACCTTACCACCACGTCGTTGGGCCGGTTCAATCGCATGCCCTGGTAGCTGTTGGCCACCACCGTGATGCTGCCGTCCGGCTCCATCCGCGTCACCCTCCCCGCGCCGCCTTCACAGAGAATCATCCTGCCCTGGAGGTCCCTGGTCAGTCCGTTGGCGTTGTTGGTCGATTCCTGCAACAGGGTGATGCCGCTGCCGGGAGTCCACTGCCGTCGTTTGTTGCCCCTTACTTCGCTAAAAATAAGGTGCCCCGCTTCGTGCCACCAGAGGGGCCCTTCGGCAACCTCGTAGCCGTTGCCCAGCTCCTCCAATTCCTGGTCGGCTGATACCAACCTGTCCAACTCCGGTGATAGCCGTTCGATTGGCACGGACAACCTCCTTGTCTGATTTGTTGCGGTCAGTCGCTCTTGTAACAGTCCGGGCCCGACGGCTATTGGGCCGTTAGCCCGCCGTCGATTACCAACTCGCTTCCCGTCATGAAGGACGACTCGTCGCTGGCCAGGAATAAGACCCCGTAGGCAACGTCTTCCGGTACTCCCAGCCTGCCGATGGGGTGCCGGGCCAGGTTCATCTCCCGTCCTTCTTCGTCGGCCAGCATGGACTCGGTCATGGCGGTGATGATGACACCGGGATGCACGGAGTTGGCGCGTATGCCTTCCCTGGCGTACTGAATGGCAGTCGCCTTGGTGAACAGACGAACCGCTCCTTTTGACGCGCCGTAGGCTGAGGTGGTCCCGCCAACCAGTCCAGCCACCGACGAGATGTTTATGATAGAGCCGCCGCCCGCCTTGCGCATCTCAGGGATGGCCGCTTTGGTGCCCAGGAACACTCCCTTGGCGTTCACGTCCAGGGTCCGGTCCCATTGGTCCTCGGTCAGGTTCTCGATGAGGACCCGCTCGCCATCCGGCCCGCGAGGGCTGCCGATACCGGCGTTGTTCACCAAAACGTCCAACTTGCCGAAACGGCCAACGGCGGTCTCGACGGCCTGCTGCCAGTCTACTTCGCTGGTGACGTCCAACCGGACGTAAACACACTCGCCGCCGCCCTCGTTGATTTCTGCCTCCACCTGCTGCCCCTCGGCATCTAGGATGTCCCCGATGACAACTTTAGCCCCTTCCCCGGCAAACATCCTGGCTTCGACTGCGCCCTGTCCTCTCGCGCCTCCGCTGATCAGCGCAACTTTCCCTTCCAGTCTTGGCATGTCTATCCCCCTTGGCGTCGGTTGCGTGACGGTCCGCCCGATTCGGGAACGGCTAGGAATAGTCCCATGAGCGGATCCGTTGCGGTGTCACTTTAATGTAGGCAACGTCCTTTCGAGGCTCGGTGGGAAGCTCCTGCTCAGGGACACCGCGTAGTTTCGCGGCTTCCCGGGCAAAGTACAGGGCATCGGAGGGCTCGGAATGCACCGTTGCGGTGCCCTGGACCATCAAGCCCTTGATGTCCCCGCTCGATTTGCCGCTCTCCAGTAGCAGGCTCACCTTCGGGTTGTCCTGGATGTTCTTGAGCTTTCTGGTATTGCCCCGGACTCCCATTACGATGTCCTCACCCAGCCGAAAGTAGCCCAGCGGCACGGTGTGGGGATACCCGTCCGGCCCAATGGTGGTCAACGCAATCCAGCCAGGCTTGCTGTCCAGAAATTCGTGGCACTCCTGAGTGGTCAAAATTCGAGGCATCGCCGCCACCTCTCGCGGTAAACCGCTCGTTCAATTAGCGGGGTCGAGCTAACAGGTCGGATGTCAGAACGCGCGGGGTGGAAACACACGGCGGTACACGCCGGGTGAACCCGAAGCGTGACCGTAGGTACCTCCGATGTATTCGTGCATCGCGTCCTGGCCGCGCTGGTTTTCCCATGCCAGGGTCTCGGTACCTTCTCGTGTTCGAACTCATACATGGTCAGGTACTTGGGCCAACCTTCGACGGACTGATACCGGCGGACCTGCATACATCCCGGGATCTTCAGGTTGCCCGGCGTCCGCACGTTATCGTAGTAGTAGTTGTACTTGTCCTCGATCTCCGGCGGCACGTCCATGCGTCCGATCTGGAGCGCGGGCGCCATTCCACGGCCCAACGTATGCGGGTCGCTTTCGGCGGGATAGATCTGAGTGTATACGTTACGGACCATCCCTCCCGCGGCCATGAGGGGCGACACCCGCTTCGACCAGTCGGTTGGGTTGGCCCGCTGGCGCAGATATTCATCCGACTGCAGGGCTTCCGCCGATTCGAGTTCGTAAACGGCCAGGTATCTGGGCCCGCCCCGCAGGGCTTCATAACGGGCCCCATCCAGGAATCCAGGGTTGCTCAGCCGCTCGGGCAAGTGCTCCTGGTTGTACCAGGCGTTGAAGTCGGCGTCATGCTCGACGGCCACATCGGTGTAGACCACCATGATAGCGGTACCCTTCTTCTCGACCACGATGCGTACCTCCCCCAAGGAATAGCTCGGCGCAGGCCCATTAAAGCACAGATCACTGCTGCCAGACCATCCCGGATTTGCCAAACTCCGGGCGAAGTGTTACTAATCTGCTCGACCAGCAATGCAACCTAGTGAACAAGTGAGAAGATATGCCAAGAGCAACCATCAACATTGGAGACGCGGCGGGACAGGCAGCCACTAATGCTACCTGGAAATACGCCATTGGTTTTGTGCCCGGTCAGGAAAACGAGGGGCTGGTAGCCAACGGAGAGGGCAGCCCGTGCCGGTTACCCGGCTACGACGACTCCGGTTGGGAAACGTGCCAGGACCTGTCTGTGGGGATCTCCAGCGGCTTTACCTTCGCCTGGTACCGGACCACCATCACCATCCCGGAGACGGTCAACGGCCGCCCCACCAACGGGATGCGCGTCCAGTTTGAGACCTGCGTCGACGACTACGGCGAAATCTGGATCGACGGCGAATGCAACCGCGACAGGGGTACCGTTCAGGGATTCAACGTTGCTCAACGGGTCCAGGTTTCCAGCGACGCCACCCCCGGCGCTCAACACACGATCGCCATATTGGCGGCCAACGGCCCGCTGGCCGCGCCGTTTGGGACCGTGTTCGTCCGCTTTGCCAACCTTGGCTTCGAGTGGACCGGGTCCTGAGACCGGGGGCTCTCGGTTACCTAACGGCGACCTCGCGGCTCTGGTCCGAGGCCTCCTGCCAGCGGGGGATGTCGGTGGGCTCTCACCACGGCCGCCGCCCTGGTCCACGAAATGATGGAGGCCAGGGACGAGAGAAGGCTGCTGAATCTGCAGCGGCAACTGTCCCGCCTGAACCTGCTGATCATCGACGAACTGGGCTTTGTCCCAGTGTCTCGGACCGGCGCGGAACTGCTCTTCGAGGTCTTCAGCCAGCGCTCACGAAGGGGGCTCCATCCTGGTCACCACCAACTTGCCATTCGACGAATGGACCGAGGTCTTCGGCTCGGAGCGGCTGACCGGGGCGCTGCTGGACCGGCTCACCCATCACGCCCACATCCTGGAGATGAACGGCGAGAGCTAGTACTACAGTCGCAGATTAGTTAGGCGCCGTTGGTAGTGGCATTTCTGAGCTCTGGCTTGGTGGCGCCGTCTCCACCATGACCAGTACAGGATGAAATCAGGCGGTTGGTTGTCCGTCCATACCAAGCGGGTGAGCAACCGGCGCAATTCCGGCACTGTCATGGGAATCAGCTCTTCATCCGGGCCGTAGTAGCCCCCTTTTCTCCCTGTTCCATGGCCTGATGCTTGATCACGGACAGATACGCGTGGGCCAGCATCGCCAACGTGATGTGCCGGTACCAGCCATCCCACCTCCGCACTTCATACTGGTCCAGACCCACCTGTCCCTTGGCCTCCTCAAAGCATTCCTCTATGGCCCACCGGCGTCCCGCCACCCGCACCAGGTTCTCCAGGATCGTTCCAACTGGTCCATAGCATACGTAAAAGGCCAGTTCCCCGGGGTCGGACAAACTGCGCCGGGCCAAAAGCCAGTAGCCCTTTCCAGGTTCCCTCAGGGGCCGTATCACCACCCTGGTCCAGTCGTAGATCCGTGGTCCCTTGGCTCCATCCCCGGCGCTGCACCTCACCCAAGCGCATTCCTCAACCCCAGAGGCCAGACGGTCGGCCCTCACCTGTCGCGGTCCCCTTGCCGGTCAAAGCCCATAGCTTCTCGCTGCGCTTGATGGCCAGCACGTGGGGAACGCACCGCCGTTCCAGCCACAGCCGCAGGTTGCGGTCGTTGCCGTACACCTCGTCCCCGGCCACCCAACCGAAGGGGACTCCCGACTCCACCGCCCGCTCCAGCATGAGCTGCGCCAGTTGCCCCTTGGTCCGGAATGACACCCCCTCCGGCACCCCGGCCTCCCGCCGGCGCTCCAAGTCCTCCGCCCACACCTGGGGGAGGTACAGCTCCCGGTCCAGCAGAGTCCTCCCCCTGGCCACTGGCATAGGCCAGGAATACGCCAATCTGACTGTTCTCGATCCGCCCCGCCGTGCCGCTGTATTGACGCTGCACCCCCACCGACTTGTCCCCTTCTTGAGGAATCCGGTCTCGTCCACCGCCAGAACTGCGTCAGCGTCGGCCAGATACTCGATCACGTAGCTCTTCAAGTCATCGCGAACCAGGTCCGCGTCCCACCGGTAGTTGTACAACAGGCGCTGCACCCCATCGGGAGTGGCATCGCCCGCCTGCTCCGCCAGTTGCCAGCCGTTCTTGCGCTCCACCGGGCTGAGCAACCCCTTCAGATAGTCCAGCGCCCGCCGGCGCGGCTCCGGACGCCGGAACCGTACCGCAATGCACTCGTGCACCCGCTCGATGCCCTCGGCCCACCGGGCCACCTCCGCAACCTCTTCCCTCACAACAACCACACCCTCACCTCACCGCCCGTTGAGTACCCTCATTTTACCTGCCCTCGATCTGCGACTGTAGTACTAAACTAAAGCCACGGTGGGATCTACATTTCGAGGGTCTTGAAGACTACCGAAAGGACTCTAATACTACAGCCGCAGATTAGCAGGAGGTCTCTTCTTGATCGTCGGCGCTACCTCACCATTCCAGACCATTCCAGACCATTCCAGTTTTGGGGCTGTTACAATTTTAACTAACAAAAGCCCCTAACTTCACCTCGTGCACTCCACCCCTCCATGCTATCTGACAACGTATTAAGAGCTTCGGCCGGGTACAGACAATGCCGGGTTGTCTGCCGTATTCCGCCTTGATCACGCCTGGTACCGCGCCTTCACAGCGTGGTCCGGATTCGTTTTGGCGTCGGCTTCGCTTTGACCATCTAGTTCCTACATCTCGGGTTTTCCGAAGGGGCTTGACGGATGACAGCTGGGCGGGTAGGGGGAAGGTGGACAGCTAGTTTGAACTCCGATCTGGCGAGGTCGAGTCCGTATTGCCCCATGCCCGCGCCGCTTAGACTAGCGGCATGACGGCTTCGCGGCCCCATTGTCTTTAGGGCCTTGGTGCAGTGGGCTCAAAGGCCCAATCGCGCGGTGCTCAGGTCAGAGGCAGGCTGGATCCTGGCGCTGCTGGCTGGAGCAGTGCCACCTCTGGCGCATCATATGGGACTAGGCTACGAAGGGGCGACGGGAAAAGGGTCGGGGATATAGAATACGGTGGGCGGGATAGGTCAGGGATGCGTCGGAGGGTGTGTCGTAAAAGCGAAAGAGGGGGGAAGGGGGGTTAGGGGCCCTCGCAGTTGGCAATCATTTGGTCATCCGACCGGTCGCCTCCGCCTCTATTTTGCGTTCCCCGCCACGCGGTAGGTGATAGGTCGGTCGTCGTCGGGATACTTCCCTCGGCCAATCGCCTACAGCCCTTTGGGTGGTCCTTGTCGTGTTCCTTCCGCCTAACTAAAGCCACGGTGGGATCTACATTTCGAGGGTCTTGAAGACTACCGAAAGGACTCTAATACTACAGCCGCAGATTAGCAGGAGGTCTCTTCTTGATCGTCGGCGCTACCTCACCATTCCAGACCATTCCAGTTTTGGGGCTGTTACAATTAGCCCCGCGACCCCAAACAAACGAAACTTTGGAGAGAAACCATGGCTGTTTCCGCCGGGATATCAAATGCGCTGGAACGTAACTGGGGTATGGTAGACCGCGCCATAGACGGGCTGAGTGATGAGACACTGGCGCGCCAGATATCCGACAGCGACAATTCCATCGGTTGGCTCCTCTTCCACATGAGCCGGGTGGTGGACGTTTTCATGAATGCCAGGTTCCAAGGCAAACCACAGATATGGATAGAGGACGGTTGGTGCGAGAAATTCGGCCTGAGCGACGACCCGGAGACGACCGGCCAAGGCTGGGACAAGGCGCGCGTGGCCGCGTGGCCGCTTCCCTCCAAAGACGTGTTGGTAGGCTACTACGAGGCCATGAAGGCCTGCTGCCGGGACTATATGTCCTCCGTGACCGACGAGGAGTTGAGCGCCACCCTGAGCCTGAGTCCCGGTTCGGACCCCGAGCCGAAAGAGACCATCATCGGTGTCCTGGTCTTTGACAACGTCGTCCACGGAGGCCAGATAGCCTTCCTGCGTGGCCACTTGGAAGGCATGGGCTGGTTCGTCTAGCCCGAACGCAGGCTTCCCGGACAATTTCTACAGGTCTAAGGAAGAGCACGGCGAACTCAAGCCGTGCTCTTCCTTAGCTCGACGCTAAACCAATACCAAGGTGGGATGTGCATTTCGGGGAGATTTACGATGACCGAAAGGACTCCACGGCACCTCATATCACCTTCAGGCCCCAACTGGGTGGGCACCGATAGTGCGGTCTAGCGATATGTACATTTCACCTTGGCTTTAGTTTAGTAGACCGGGCTGCGGCCGGACGCTTTTGACCTGAAGGAGGACGGCGGGCGGGGAGTACTTCGCCGAGTTGTCGCGGTCGTATCTGGGAGTGAACAACGAGGTTCAGGGATCGGAGCGGCTGTATGGTGAAGGAAAAGCTGGCGTCCAGCCGAGGCATTGTCCGCGCTTACGGATGTTTACGGGCCGGTAGACATCTCTGGGAGTCCTCACGCCCTTTGGTAAGAGTTTTCGCGACTCCACACGGCGCTGTCAGTGCCGAAGGCCTGCCGGTTTGACCAAGTCAATTGGTTGGACACTCCCTATCATAGGCCCCCATACTCAACACTACGGGGAATAATGCAGCCGTCTGCGCATATCCCCTCTCCTGGATAGACTAAGAGTGGACTCTAGTGTTGAAGTTCTTGTATCTATGGAATAGATTACAAGGCAGCTATTGGCCGTCGTCTCTGTCCGACCTTCCGCACCACCGGACAGCAACAAGTGGCTAGCTGCCCGACAACGGGCTACCACTCTCCGTCATTCCTCCTCCTTTCCCTTGGCCGGAAACCAACGCCTTTTTACGTTCCAGTTAATTACAGTGCCCAGATACTTATTATTTGTACAATTCCCAATTTTTCTCACTGCTCGAGGGGGCTTTTTTACAGGACTTCCCTATTGAGCTGGCAGCATATTTTACGATTGCCGGAACGGAAGCAAGATTCTGGGCTAGCCTTGCAATCGATTCCGGAACAATACTCGTTCCCAGCTGAGATTCTCAGTGCTCGAGGCTACGTACCAAGGAGCCAAGGGGACGAGCAGCGATATGCGGGAAATTGACAATGAGGACAGAACTAAGGAGTAAATTGCGATCCCCTTTTGCACGACCTACCAGACTCGCACCGATGGCTACCTCCTTGGCAACGCCAAGAATGAGACAGCCTTGGCCTAGGTCGAGCGTTTCCTCCTGTAGCGGCAGCCACGGTACTTATAGTCATTGTGTTGGTCATCCTACTTGGGGTGGTTACTTGGTGAGTCTCGTAAAAATGCGCCGGTTGGGCAGTGCCTGGAGCTAATGCGGTCATTCGAAATGGGGTTCGATACCATAGTCTGTCGACGGCGGAGTCACGCCCAACTCTCGGCTTCATGCCCATGGCCGCCGCCGCTTGGACAGCTTCACCGAGTCCAGCCCCCTGCCGCCGTGCGTCGTGATGATCGCCCGCGCCTGCCTCGAGTGGCGATTCGGTGTCGAAGTCCGAGTCGCGCAACAGTATTCCGATACGTCCGGTTCATCCCCCGTCCACCGCCGCCAGCACCTCCAGCATGGCGCCGTGGCGCAGGTCCTGCTCTTGCAGCGCCGACACGAACTCGCTGAAGCGATCCACCGCCACGTCGTGGAGACCGGCGTCGGCCAGCTCCGACATCACCAAGCAATAGGGCAGCAGGAGGTCCGACAAATGCCTCCGCTTCCGGACCCATTGCCAACAGCGCGCCAATCACCCGGTCAACCTGCTGCTGAGCGGCCGCCGCCGGGAACCCCATCGGGTAGGTGTCCAGTATCGACTGGACCACTTTGGCCCCGCGGTAGTAGTAGACAATGTACAGTCCGCCCGCGGCGTGCGGCGGGTTGGGGTCCCTCTCACCGAAGCGTCCGACGTGAAAGTCAGCCGGTCCAACCACCAGCGCGGCAGCGCGTTCGGTCACCGCGGGCAATCCCCGCATGGCGGGCCGGATTTCCACCGGCAGGTCCTGGTTGAATTCGCGCAAATCCGCGGCCACGGTTTCCGCCACCTCGGCCACGGCGGCGTGCGCTTCCGCCAACAGCGTCGCTCGGGCGTCGGTCAGCCCGTCGTCCAGGTCGGGGATAGTGGTGTCCTCAAGACGTTCCCTGTTTTCCGCGGCTTCCATCGCCAGCTGGGCCAGCACCACCAGGTAGGCTTCGCCCATGAGGTCCCCTTGCGGCAGCTCGGCCCGCTGGCCGCGTACCAGTTTCGCTACCTGGAGGCTGGTGATGCACGCGAAGCAGGCGGCGTACCAGAGCTCGGCATCATGGTCCGCAACCTCCGGCGCCGCTTGCGGTCGGCAGCCGCGCCGCAGCGTCATTCAAACGTCCCATGAGCCCGATGCGCCGCTCCATCTCCGCTGCTGCCATGGGCGACTGCTCGCCCTGGTCCTGCTGACCCGCCGCCCTTCGACCACAGCGCCGGAGAGTTCGCTTTCCTTCTCCAGCATCAGGCCGGTCAACGCCAGCAGCAGGGCCCAATGGCTGCCGGCGAGTCGCGGTGGCTGCCACTTTCCACTACATCCAGCGCTGCGCTGACCTGCGCTGTGGTCGCTTCGCGGAAGGCCGTCAGCCACGCCCGTTGGTAGGCGCGCGCATCGCGGTCAATCTCGCACCGTCACAGGCGCAGTGCGGCTG